TGACAGCTTGGCGGAGCCACCCATCATCTCACACACCTCCGGAGTAGCCTGCCGGAGGTTCGGCTAAGCCGATCCAGATGTTGGATCAGCTGAGTGAAACTCCTTCTGCACTTCGGCCGACCCGAACCCAGCCGCCTTAAGCCGATGTATGGCTCATTTCAGTTGGTGATATCAAAGCCGGCCCCGACAAGCTCTCATGACAGTCCAGCGTCCCCTGGTTTCTAGGTAACCAGGAGACGCTGAACTGTCATTACACACTGAGAACCTGGCGGAGCCGCCGTGATATGGTCCTCCCCGATCAGCCATCCTGAAACTTGTGGCTTCTCCCCGCCAGCCAATGCTTGCTCCTCCGCCCCCCGCTGGAGTTTTTTTTAATCCCCGTTACCACAGCCCCTACAAGCGGGGGACAGCAGGAGACTACAAGCGGGGATCCATGGAGTCACAGATCCCTGCCTGAAGCGGCTCCAGGCAGGGATGAGAGGCTCTAGATGCCGGCAATTTTTCCCATTGATTTTATTTTCAACTGCTGGGTTGCTAGCGTTTGTAAAAGACCCCCCAAACCATATATTTTCTGAAAGTGCAGGCCCGGGTAGAATAAAAAGATGGTGCTACTAAATTTGTAGGCCCTGCGATAATTGCGCAAATGTTTCTCATTAATATTAAACCGATAAAAATACACAATTCAATTGATAAAGCATTAAGATCAGTATCCGCAGACACACAAAAAAAAATTCTGACTAAATCTAAAAGATAAAACTGTATTGAGTTAATAAATAACAAATATTTGCAAATTTGAAATTGCGCTTTTTTTGCGAAAAAAAAAAAAAAATTAAGGTACTCAAAACTGTAAATAAGCGACTTATGTTAAATTATTTTTACGCTGTGTTGGTGTTTGTGTTGTGATAAAATGATACACGCGCATATTTAATTGCAACACAAGGTATCACAACGTATGGCAATGTGTCACAAAGCTTTGCCATGCGCTGCCACAGTTAATTTTAATGTTTTTATTTTAAGAAAAAAAATAAAGAAAAAAAATCATGCACTGCGATGCGTTCTAACAACGCACTGCAGCGCGTGTGCTTGGCGTACACCACAATATGTGTATGTCATGTGGGGGGAGGGAGGGTGTTGTGCTTTTTTCTATTAGTTTTTAATTTTTTTTAAAAAACATTTTGTAATCATTTTTTTTGTTTTTTTTTCTTGTGGGGGGGGGGGGGGGGGGTGGCTTCCCATTCATTCAGAAACTAATGATAGTAAATATTTTTACTATCGCCAGTTTATGAATGGGAGGAGCCTCTGTAGTGAGTGCTACTCCCCATTCATAAATTCTTGAATGAACAGGCTGTGATGTAAATCACAGCCTGTTCATTCATAACTGGGGACACATAGTACTATGTGTCCCCAGTTATTTACAAACACCGGAGTGATCAGACGATCACACGGGTGTTTGCCCTGCACAGCGGGATCGATAAATATCAATGATATTTATCGATCCCCCACTCGGCCACGCTACACAGAGCCGCTGTCATCCAATACCCTACAAGCGGGGGAGAGCAGCGGGGATCCATGGCGACACACAGTTCCCTGCCTGAAGCTCCTCCAGGCAGGGGTGAGAGACTGCAGATGCCGGCTGGCCAGCCAGGAACACTTTTGTTCGGCGGTGGCAGCGAAAGGGTTAATGTAACTTTAACATCCCTCAATTAATCTCTTACAGTAAAGTTTTCCCTCCTGCAGGATACTTGTGCTGCGCCCAAAGCAGCATGTGCCAAAATATAATAATCGTGCCTAAAACTACAAATGTAGATCCTCCAGTGCTGCAAACTGTCTGCAACTGCCTCATTAATACTTTTTTGAGGAGGTGTTTTTTGTAAAATTATTTTTTATTAAAATAGAATCATATAGTCCATACATATAGTATTAAATTACAATACTATATTTATGGACTACATGATTCTATTTACACGTGATCACCTTTCTGAGTTGCCACACTTTTGAAAATATATATTTATAGTGTGAAAGCTTTTTAAATTAAAGACCCTTTTATTTTGCTTTCAGATGGCATGCCAGGAAAATGATATAGAGTCTCTTAAAGTACTTCAAGTTGAACTCTGGTGAGTACTACAATGCTCTATTTATTTAATGGTGTGTAATTGTGTACATTAGTGGAATCAAAAGGTAAATTTGCACATGTTATAGTTATCTATTAGTGTAAGTTGTTTAATAATGTTTTCAGATGTTAATGCATAAGACATGCCATAGCGGTCATACAGCAACTGTACAGAACCCCTAGCTTTCCCTGATGGGTTTAATCCTTCTGGTAATCTTTGTATAAGCCTTCACGGAATATTCAAGCACTGAACAGGCTATTATAGATGTTATGCAATTCTTCTCCTCGCCCATACTGCTGAACAAATATTTGTTTCAGTTTAGCTTGTGTTGCAATCTTGTATTAAAGCTTTAGGATGAAACTCCATCTTGGCGATCAACTTAAAGCCTCCATATACAAAGGCTTTCTTAGCTTAATGTTACTGTTTTAGACAGATATGACGATATGTCTTTTGAAAAAAAAAATGCCTAAAATATAGCTTGATTATAAATGTATGTAATTAAAGTTAGTTGAAATGCACTGATCGGCCCTGTGAGATAAAAAAAAGCTTTTGTAATCAGCACTAGGGGTAAATGGTTTACACTTTTAGAATTCAAGTGTACCTGTCACCATCATATAGATATGGTTATTAAGGGAAAAATGTGGAGAATACTGATAAGCTGTAATCCTATTTAAAATGTCATTTTGCTGTTTCTGTAGTCCAGCCATTTTTATCTGATGTGGTTGAGCATCGGGCTAAGTAGACTCATTTAACATCAAACTAGCATTTTGCCTGTGACCTTACAGTGCCTGTGAGCTTTCAGTGAACTATCTGGATTCTTGTTTTAAAGGAGGCACTTTGGTTCTGAAGCAGTAGCTAGGAGCTATTGTTTTTTTTTTGTTTAAGTTTGCTATCCTGATAGCTATACATATTGTTAAAATTCTATGTAAAACTTTTTGTAAAAGTAAGCTATGCATAAAGTTAAAAAGAGGTTTTTTTTAATAACATCTAGGCTGGCTATAGAAGTTTAGTTTTCTATATGAGAGCAATAGCCTGGAAAAAATATGCCTGTCGATTGTAGTGCTGGACCTGCTACTGCTTCTCATACTTGCTAAACGGACTGAGGTGGTTCATCTTTTTTTCTTTTTTTCCAGAAGAGGGAAGGGTCATCCTGGTCTCACTGATCATTTTTCTACCACTTGTATTAGCTACATAAACACTGCAAGCATTGGAAACTCTCATGATCACTTCTTAAGAATAATGCCTGTCCTTACTTAAGAGATAGTTTTGAATGGGGCAGCTTGGACAGTTTTGAGTTGATCTTAACCCAGTTGAAGTTTGTTCTATTGTTTGATAACCTTTAAACCGTTCTTTACATTAATGTTACAACTCAAAAATTAGCAGAAAAATCCGGATAAGAAGATTATTAGCATTCCTCTTTGAGTATGCTCCCACAGTCAATTTGTTTCCTCTTTATGACTTATAGCAAGTAGCAATATATCTTGTATTTCCTTTCATTTTATAAGTTGTGCCTGTTATTCCATCAGTGCTAATGCCATTTTTATCTACCTTGCAGGCCACTTTTAACAGCTGAACAGAACCACTTACTACATCTTGTTCTGCAGGAAATGATTTCTCCTTCAGGTCAAGGCATTTGAACCTTTATAACATGGTAGTACCTTTTAGGTAATTATTTAGGTACTTTCCCTTCTGATCTGTACACACTGTCTTTGGAAAATAGGCTAAAGACCAGCTGCAACCTCCCTAACTATCCAACAGTGTGTAGATATCACTGATGTGGGCACTCAGATATTGATAGGCATTGCCAAACACAACATTTGGTTTGGCGACTGTTCTCTATTAGGTCTGTCCAGCATCATGTGCACTAAAACACTTTGGATATGTCATTAATCAGTGCCCTGAGAGTCAGGGCTGACAGGCCCCCTGAGGTCTGAAAGTTGCTGCCTGACAGCATTTTCATAACATGCTGTTTCCAATCTACTGAGTGTGCATAACAGTATCTAATAACAGGACCTTTTATAGTTTTTACATTCCTAACTACAGTGCTCTGCTACTCAATACTGTTATGCACACTGAGGACGTATTGCACAGCAAGTGTTATCACCATGAAGTAAAGCAGTTGACAGGATAGGTCACCTTTTAGCACTGACTTTTGGGGCCAAGATTCAGCCTCAAAGTAAATATAAATATAGGGGCCAAAGTAAATCTTGTATAGTTAAGCATAGACCAGGGCTGAACAAATACAAAGAGCTATGTAGCAAAAGCTCAATAAAATTTACAACTGGCACCCAATGTTTTAGGTTTTGTCTAGTTATCAATGGAGCTGGCTCCTGGATTCGGCAAACTGGCTGTTGAATTCCATTTAATTAGAATTAATTTGTCCACCCGGTTATAAATTTAAGAATAATTCTTCAATTGTTGCACCAGTCTGGTTGTGAATAGTTTTCTTCAAAGTCTGTTTGCTTTACAACCTTTTGTGATCATACATTATTTATTAGGAAGTAGTTATGTTTCAGCAAAATGTGCTCATTTTTAACACTGAATGAAAACCTACCATTATGCTGTAGTTTGTACAGTTGTGATTATATTGGTGTATTATATCTGTAATTTATTGTTGAGAGTGATGAATATCTCAAGGCAAACATTTTCAATAAATGGCCTGTCCTACTGGAACTGAAATTGTGTTTTTTATTGAACAGCTTTGTATTGATTACTTTACACTGTCTATGATTAATTGCAAAGGTATACAATAAACATACTGAATGAAAATAATTCTACAGTATATATTTGCATTCTTAGCACTCAATATAAAGATAGATTTATTATATGTAGAATTGATCGATTTCACGGTTTACCGATGGCAAACAAGATGATTTAAACTGCGGGTGAGCCACACTTAAAAATGTGTTATCTGTTTGTTTGTTTTTTTCACGTTAACCACCTCCGGGCCGGCCGTAGTAAAAAAAACGGCCGGCCAGAGCTCTCTAGATCTGAGCGGGCGTCTTTAGACGTCCGCTCAGACACGCCCCCTCGCGCGCACCGCTGGGCGCTTTTAAAGCTTGACATGTTTGGTGTCTATTTAACCGACATGACCCCGACTTTTATATTTTACCACAAAACTGGGTAAAAATAAGTGTTTCCTAACATAATGTAAAAATAAAACCCGTAGTGGTGATTAAATACCACCAAAATAAAGCTCTATCTGTCCCCAAAAAATGGTATAAAATTCATTTCAGTACAGCGTTGCATGACGGAATAAACGTCAAGGTATCGCAGCGCTGAATACTGAAAAATGGCCTGGCCAGGAAGGGGGTATAAACACCTGGTCTTGAAGTGGTTAAAGTAAATCTAAGGCTAGCCATGTGCAACTTCTTTTATGATTTTACATTGCTGCATATGTTCCTGTTGAGCACATTTCACCACATTTCAGTGTTAACACCGGCACAGCAAGTGAACAAAAGCTTTACAGTAGGGACACCAACAGCAATTAAAATACTTTATTGTCAATTGAGGGACACAGAATCCGTAGTCAACTCAATTGTACTCTCGCCTACACAAAGATGATTTACTTTCTGTGTCAGTGGAATATGCAGGGCAGGAGTTCCCTTTTAGTTTCTTGGGCTCTAGGGTCAGATTGTGTGGTAGCAGCTTAGGTTGTATCCATGTTTGTTCACTTTCAAGCCCTAATTTCCCATTGGAGGCAGAGGAGATGGGGCAAACCTGAAGAAGTGACACTAAGGTACTCAGCAGGGGTGGAGCGTCGGATGCACACACTCCACACTCCCTCTTTATTGTTAGTTAAGTGGCAAATCTCCCTTCTGCTGCTCCCGCATCTTAAGAGTAATGTGAAACATGTGCCAGTGCTTACTACTTGTTGCCCATCTGCAGTGACCCGTGTTAGACCTGTTGGTCTTGAGCCCAGTTCCAGCTGCTCAGGTTAGGAAAGTACAGCTTTTGGGGCCTAGTACCACACGTTAAGTCTGTTATTACCATTCCACTATTGCAGTTGCAACATGTCCTAGTCGAAGAACAGGGGGGATTACCTGGCAGTCATAGGTAACCCTGAAGCACAGTCTCCTCACAGCTCCTGCTCTGCATAGAGTGTGAGGAGCACTTCATTGGACTGTGAAGGGGATGGCTCATGTCTGTATGTCATGTTATGCCCTGTTGAAAGTTCTACTCTGCCCCCATCAGGGTTTTCTCCCGGTCTTAACCATAGAAACTTTGTCCTCTGTTTTGGAGGAATTCAAGTTCCAGCTTACCAGACTGGTCAGTAATACTAACCATAGATGCTACAAATTCCATGCTGCACCTTCCTTTTCTGTGTTTGAACCAGACATAGAAGCCCGATTTATTGGGTTAGTTGGTTGCTGTCCCTCTCTCTGACTCTGCCATACTAGGGCAAGGATTTTTCCCCAGCTTTTGCTGGATTTGGTGCAGACATTACTAGGGATATTCAGCTGCCTTTTGGGCTTTGCTGGGCTTCTAGTGTGTGTGGTTGTGCCATGCAATGTATGCATTTCTGTATATGTACCATAGTTGGGATACTTTTTGAGTTAAAAACCACACTTTACAGAGGTGTCTTGACACTATGGTGTGCCCTTGCATGCATTGTTACCATTTGTGTAACAAAAAACTTGTTTTTTTTTCTTTATTTAAAAACGAAAACAAGGTACAAGGCAAAATAGTACAAAAGATGTGGGTCAAATGTATAGCACAGAGTAGGAAAGTAGCAATGATATACATCAAATTCAAAGCATATACCACATTAGCACAAATCATATCAGAGACATAGATAAACCATTGTACAAAACAAAAAAATACATAAATAACAGAGAACATTTAAAGAACAATTAAACACGTGGAAGTATGTTGAATCTTAGAACATGGTGTTAATCATATATGAATCAAAAGTAGAATATAAGAGATCTAGCAATGCACCATAAACAATGGTCGCAAACCATTAGATAAAAAGTTCAGTTAAACATCTGCCCCTAGAGTATTGCATGTGGAGGACTTTATAGTTCACCTGTCCCATTATTTTATTTTGTTTTCAAAGCCGCTGTGCTTATAAATCTAGTGTTTGTAAGGTAGAGAGGCGTTACCTTCCTGTTTCTATTGGATCGGAGTCATGTCTTGAATCCTCAGTCTAGCTATAAGTTTCCTGGACCTATAGGACTGTTCGCCGAAAGGTAAGTATAGCCGTGGGGGGCGGTTTGGGAGAGACCAGGCCAGATTTGATCGGGTAAGCGCTGCGCAAACTGTTGGCGCTATATAAATCCTGTATAATAATAATTCAGTTTTCCTATATTACATGTGAAAGTGAACTTACCCTTTAATGCACATTGTGTAAGAGTTCTGCTGCCTGGCTACCACAATATGGCACACAGTGGAATGGCGGCAGCACTCGACGCACACACACAATGTCCTAAACGTGTGTTTATTTGCATGCAGATTGCGGCGCAGCGGGATTGGTTTACGTTTATTTAATTTTTTTACTTTATCACTTTTATTTTTTTCATTTTTAGATATTGTATTTTTTACTTTTTTTTATAACTTTTTACATTTTTATTTTTATTTTTTCCCACTTAATTTAATTCCGATCACATAGAGGATTGAAAGCCCCTATGTGATAGTTTGGAGGTGATTGGTTCTCTTTATGGAACCTGCCCTCCAACACAGAACAGATGTTCTGTGCAGTTTCTGACAGCTGAGACAGGTGGCGCTGTGATTCCAGTCTCGGTGATCACACAGAGCAGACGAAGAATGGACGTTGTTCGTCTGTTCTACAGGCTCTATGGTGATCGCTGCTTGTTTCATACAAGTGATCTGATCAGATAACTTGTATAAAAACGAGCAGCGACTCCCGACTGTACATTTATCTCTGCTTGTCCGGAGCAGGGCTAAATGTACAAAAAAACTACTCGCCCGGCGCCCGAAACTGCATGTCCCGGGCGTCGGGCGATAGGAATTCCACACCCCTGGTCTTGGTCCAGGGAGGGTCTGTGTTGTACCAAATACCTTCCACTTCTTAATAATAGACTTCACTGTGCTTCTAGGCATTGATAAAGTATTTTACAAAATTTTTGTATATATCTCATGACTTGTGCCTGTCCACAACTTTATCCCCGGAGATCTTTTGATAGTGCATTGCCACCCATAGTTGTTTGCTCCAGTTGCACTACCAGGGACTGAAATGCTCCAGGAAAGCTCTTTTCATGCTGAGCTAATCAAAATGACCACAGCTGATCACAATTGAAAGTCAAATGGCTTTGTGTGCCATTGAGAAGGTGATTAACTACACCTGATTGAGATTACAAGTCATTTTTAGGAGGGGGTGATCCTTTTTCCAACTCAGTGATTGTTTTTGAATTTTTTTTCTGACATTGTGTCTGTCTTCATTTCAGGATGCAAAGCAACAAAATGTGATTATTTTAAAGTGGGGCGATTTTCTTTTCTATACCCACTGTATCTATATCGGGAGCAAAAAGTTTACCTAAGAGGCAGGACCTGGGGTCGGGGGTTACTGGCGAGCCCATATAATCATGAGGGAACTTGACTATCAGCTGCCAGTAATCCTGTATGATGGGACATGCCCAAATTAAGTGGTAAAATGTTCCTTAGGCACCCTGGAATTTTAGGCACAGAGGGTTATAGGTGGGCTTGATTCTGGACAAGCCAAT